AAATAGAGTGTGAATTAATATTGCTAAACTTTTTGTTAATTCGAGCCTTTAAATCATTACCTTTCCAATTATCTGTAGTTCTCTCCAATGCAATTGGTCTCATTTATTCTTGTTGTTCTTGTTGACAAAGTATCAACAATATAAAAAAGAAATCAAACAAAGAATATATTAGTTTTAGCATTTTATACTATTGATTGGTAATCTCTTTTTGATAATGTTCAAAGTGTTGTTCCCATAATTGAAGATACTTTAAACAACTGTTAACATCCTTCATCTGATTTGGCAATGGCTCCAACAATACTAGTGTTGAGTCCTCATTAAAATATTTTACAATTGGTTGTGAATATATTCCCACTTGATTATTTGTATTTGATGCAAAATTGTCAGACATTTCTTCTTCTTTTCTTAGTTTATTCAACCTTTCTGCATAATATGATGGTGATTTAAGACGTTTGCTATAGGCAGTCGATCCTATTTGTAAGTCTAAAAAAAATTAAACTTGTAGTTCTTAAAAATAAATTCTGAATTATTTAAATTTAAGTAAAATTTAAAATTTAAAACATACTATTAAATTTTGAAGTTGTGTAATTCACTGAAGTACTTTCTAGATCCTAAAAATTTAGTATAAATAAATGAGGTTTATAAAATTATAAATAAATTTTTAATACATGTAATAATATAGATAATCTTTAACTTACTGAACTTTTATTGTTAGTATCTCCCTTTTATTGATAAATGAATTAGAAAACATCAAAATTAAAAAATATCATAGAACTCAAGACTCCTTACCTGAGTTTCTAATGAGTCCTGGAAAATATTATAAACATATGATTTAATTAAATCCTTTAATAAAAAAATATATTCGAATATTACAAATTATTTTTATAATAAGATTTATTCACCTTAATTACTTGTTTACTCTTGGAATTATCTTTTTTGATCTTCTTTGACTTTCGGTTGATTTTAGATTTGCGCTTTCAGACTAAATCTCCTTGTTCCTCAATTTCTTTATCAGAATCCAAATTGGGTTGTGGTTTATTGTATTTTTTTGATTCCTTGTAAAGTTAATTATGTATTAAAAAAATAAACAAAAGAGGTTTTAGCTAATTTAATAAAATTAGCATTTTTGATTTTAAAATCAAAAATTTAAATAATACTACTTTTCAAAGTGTTAATAGAATCTTTTGAAGCTGGATAGTTTCAATCTGTTAGAAATAAATAATGATAATTATCCAAAATCTTATTTTAATTCTTACCATTTGGTTCCTTGCTATAATCGACAAAAATTTTCTGTTTAAGAAAATTATATAATTAGAGCTATTCAAAATTAATTAATTGTAATTTTCATAACAAGGTTCAAATTTTTTTATATTTATAATATCTAGATGGATTTAAAAAATATTTTTATAAAATGTTATATATGAAATTTAAAAAAAGCCAGAGTAACGCTATTTAAAAATTTTATAAAAACTAAAGCAATTAAGAAAAATAATAAAATAATATGTAATAATAATGAGAAAAGAATAATATATTATTATGCATTAATTAAAATTCTTACCGGAATAGGGTTATTAACAAGAACAACAGATACACCACTTGGTTCAATATTAGAGTGTATATCCGAATCTGAATGCTCGTCAAATTGCAGGTCACCTTTTCAGATTGATATTAGTATTGTTAATTTAACTTAATACTTGAGGCAAAAGTTTGGTTTCATTACCTTGATTCTTTTCAATTACATCAGTAATTTCTGCTGGTGTGCTAGAGGCTACATTAACTGATTGCAACCTACTGATTTTATTATAATTTACGCTTTAATACTTTAATAGATTTTATATTCCTTATTAAACATAAGAAAATGTTTATAATAACTGAATCAAAAGTAAAAATTTCTTACCTCTGGATCATCATCAATATTATTCTGATTCTGATTAGGCTGTATACGTGTGTTAGCATAATTATTATTTTAAAAAGATTTATACTTTTTCTTACCTTCTCATTAATTAAAGAAGTTCTTTCATTTTCAATACCACTTTTTTAATAGTGATAACAATTTAAATATATAAGTTAAAAAATTGCTATAAGTTTCTAATGTTAATTAAAAATTTACCTGATTATTAATAATTGAAACGATTGATAATACACCCTAAAAATTTAATACAAAAAAATAAATGAAAATTTCTCCAACATATGTAAAAAAAAGTACGGTCAATAATAAATTATTAACATTTCTATTGGATTATTGGCTTTTCGAAGAGCTTGCAATTGATTGATTTACAGATTCATTGACCTTTAAAATGTAAAATAATTTAGATACTGTTTTACAATTAATCATTGACATTATGTATGAAAAATATTTAGATACTGTTTTACAATTAATCATTGACATTATGTATGAAAAATTAGCTCTTACTTTGTTATTATCATTGTGCACACTGCTTAACTGGCCTTCACTAATTTCTAGATCCTAGAAAATTTTAAGGGTAGAGTGTATGTCGATCATTTATCATATGATCTCAGTGGTACAATGGGATTTTATGCATAAATTAAAATA